GTTGTGGTGTTTTTGCTGAAAGAGAGGGAAAATATCAATCTTGTAGTCCTCGTTAGGAATCAAACTAGTTTGGCTAGGTCAAGTTTTGATTACAGACAGCTGCTGAAGCCCAAATGCAGGAGCCTGTCTCAGCAGCTGCAAATATGCATATGACATGACCTGGGAGATAAGTTAGAGATCTACTGACCTCCTTGCAAGGGACTATGCTGAAACCAAGTTAATTATAAAGGGAATGCTTGCAAGAAGGGTCACTAGAAGACAGAATTCAACTAATAACAAACTCTCAGAACAGGAGCTGTATTCAGCCCATAGAAGACAGCAATAAACACTCACTGAATGAAATGATTAAATAAGCATGCTCACAAAAATCTATTCCTTTTGCGAGAATTACTATAGGCATCAGAAATTATTTTGAAAATGTATTCTATCAACAAAGGGGATGGGAAAGTTGTTCACAATGGACATGCTAGTGTAGTAGTAATGGTAATTTTAAACAAATGCAGTGGGGAAACAAATGCATTGGGGTACCAAAATCCAGGTAATGTAAGACAGAACATTAATAAAATCTTTCATAAGCTCTTGGTCACACTTTAGGAAACTCATTTAACCTTTTTAAGTTTTTAAAATTATTACCCACAAGGGATTTCATGAGGATTAATTAGGTGCTTTATCTTCCTCCCCCAAGTCTGCAAAATCCTGACATCTCTTGAGATGAAAACCAATAAATTGAAAGATTCACTGAAATTAATAACAAGAATTAACTGTATAAAGAATGAGGCTTACTTAGAATATGTTTATTACAAAAATAGTTATGTTGTTTGGAAGAATACAGGGGAAAAATGGCTGGCATACACCATCAACAGTGCAGTTCCCAAGAGACTACTTTATGAAAGATTGAAGTTGAAACATACAGTGTTAACAATACTTATACTGACATTTTGTTTAAATACCTTAGGGTACTTGTTGCTTTAAGTGAAAATGTAACAACAAAAACTAAGAAAAACAATAAAGCGTTACCTACAAAAACTTATTTTACAAATTTAAGATGTTTCACAAGAAAAAGGAAAACAATAAAGTGTAAGTATATATATGTACAGGGAAAAAACTTTTAAGAGAATAACAAGCACTTTAATTTGAAAGCTCTGCTAGGTAGTACTTTTTCCATTTAGAGCAACCTATACATTACTAGAAGCTAAGACCTTACTAGTTTCCACATTCTAAAATATGCCCCTGGCATATCATATTCTGTCAAACGGTTCATAGGATCATGGATTGCAGAGGCTGGAAGGAAGGATCCCTAAGCGTTCAGATGCTCCTACTCCCTTCACACAGGAGGCACATTATTATCCTCACGTTACAAATGAGAAGTTAGGTGGTTCTTCGGAGTCACATAATTCATAAGTGGGTGCATTCTAGGTGGGCTAGAATCCCAGGTGAAATATGCTTCCCACTCATAACACCATTCAACTTCTGATGAATGTTCCACGGAGAGACACAGAGAGGCATGATGACAGCTGAGGCTCAGTATCTCAAGGGTTCTCCAAAGGGTCTGCCTTGCTCCCTCAATCCAATCACCTTCAGTCCCTGCATGGCTTGGTATCATAAGCCGCCCATTTTAATGTCAGCGTCCCAATGGCTCGTTGGAGGTTCAACATTGTATCGTCCTCTCCGACTCAGCAGCCTTCACCCCGCCAGCCCTTCATATAGCCTTTGGCACTGAATCCAACCCCCACTCCTCTGGGCAAATCTAGCTCCACAGGGCCTCTGGATCTAAGCCCTTCTCACATCTGTCACCCACTGCTCTCCTCTCCACCCCACCAGCCTGACCCACGTTACCCATTTCACGACCTCACCTCCTCTCCACAGCAATGCTCCTCTCCAATCCTTCTGGTAATGCTTCCTCCTCCCCCCAAGACTCCTCCCCAGCCAAAACTGACTCACGGGCCCGGTGCCCGGGGGTGCCCGTTCCTCACCCGGCGATCACGGCCCCAAGGAGGTACAGCAGCAACAAGCAGAAGGTGCCCAGGTTCTGCGGGGCCATGGTTTCTCCGTGGCGGCCTCTGTGCCGGCCCCCGTCCCACGCGCTCCTCACAGCCTCCGCCGCCGCCGCGCCGGCTCGCCAGCCCTCTTGGCTCTGAGAGGCCGCCTCACGCACGGGTCTCCTACTTGGTCCGGAGCCACAGCTGAATTGCCCCCACCACTGTCAGTCCACTTCCCGGGAGCCCCGAAACCCGGTGAGAGATGCCCCCGCAGACGAACTCCAATTGCTGCTTAGGACATCACGCGCGGCCAGAGCGTCTCAGCCAATCACCACAGTACACTTCACCTCCGAGGAGGTGCAGGCGGCCAGTTAGGCTTCGGGACTGCAGCCACAGCGTCAGGCCAATCAGAAGAGGAAACGTCAGAGAGTCGCGCCGGCATCCAAGAGTCGTAGAAAATTACGTAAAGGATGGTGGGGGCAAAAATGGTTCCAAGAGTTGGCACCCGAGGTGCACGAAGTTCCCCCGCCCGCCTCCTCGAATCTCCACCAATCACGAAGATCCTCCTCCATCGCTGACCAATAGCGGGAAGGAGGCTTTTCTTGGTTACAAGTCTCGGAATTTCATTCATATTGAGCTTGGCGCTGGATGCTGGTTTGGCAAATAAGGGCGAAATAGGCGGGACAACTACTTCAAACCACCATACTTTAAGCCAACGTATCGTTTAGATCTTATTTTACCTTCTCCTAACAAGCCCAGAAGAAAATCGTCACGGCTTCACAGAGAACAGGCTGGTACCCCACAGAGAAAAATCCGTGGAGGCCGACTTACGTTCGGATTCAGCTTCCACCACTTCATCGCGGTGAACGCACATCCTCTTCCCTGTCCCTCAGCCTAGCGTAAGCTGCTTTACTTACAAACTTTAGGCAAAACATTTACTGGTAGTGTTGTAAAATTTTAACGGAAGATCCGTAAACCGTTTAGCAAAGCTTCTAGCACACAGCACGCAATAAATAACCATGATCAGTTACAAGAACTCTGATTCCCCCTACCTACTGTTTGTTGCTCATTTCAGTAAATGCACCACCTAGAGCTGTTCACGACGAAACTCAAGTGCCTTCCCTGATTCCCCACTTGCATACACTATCCAATCTTTGCCTTCAAACTACATCCTGAATCTGTCCACTACTCTACATCTCTACTACTTCTCCGGGCCAAGCCATACCTTCGCTCACCTGCCAAGAGCCTCCTAACTGGTCTCCCTGCCTCCACTGTTAATACTGTAGTATCTCGTTCACTCCTGTCCACTATCCCCATGATTTTTTACAAACATGTCAGATACCTTGATTAAAAGCCTCAAATAGCTTTTCATTGCACTTTGAATAAAATCTCAACATCTCTCAATAAAGCTGGAAAAACCTTTTTAAACCTCCGGTGATCTATACCGGCACGTAGTATATATATTCTTTATCATGTTCCAGCAAAACTGGCTTCTTTTCTCTTTTCTGAATACACCAAACTCATTCCTGCCTAGGTCTTTGCTCTCTAGCTGTTCTCTGCCTGAAAAACTCTTCCCTTGGAGCCCAACATGGATGACTCCTTTTTAAACTCAGGTATCAGCTTAAATGTCACCATTTCAGAGAAGACTTCCCTGACCAACCAATTAAAATGAGAGACTTTTATTCTTACACTGCCCTATTCTGTCTCCATGTCTGTGTGAGCCCCCTCTGCACTACCCACTCCCCTTCTCCCCAACCTCCCCCCCTACACTCTGACACTCTGGAATGCCAGTTTCATGAGCATGAGTCTGGGCTGATCTTTTTACAGCTATACAGAACAGCACCTTTGAATTTTTGTATGCTGGCTCCTTTTCCTTCAGGCCTCAGATCAAATTTGGCATTGACCTCCTTTCCCCTAGGCAATAGCATTTATTAATATCTGAAATTTTCCTGTTTTATGTCCTTAGTATGTACTATCTGTTCTCCTTATTAAAATATGTACTCCAAGAAAGCAAGGACATTATATGTTTTGTTCACTACTATAATCCTGGAGCCTAGCACTCTGCCAGACACACAGTGTTACTCAATTATGTTGCTGCAGAAACCAAAAACAGAGAGATGACAAAATTTGCTCAAGGTCGCTGAGGTACCTTAGTAGTGCAGCTTGAATCCTTACCAGATGTGTATGAATACAAAGCCCCTCTTCTTTACCGCTTGATCAATGCAAAGAGGTAAGAGGAAGACAAGATTACTGCTTTCAGGAAGATGCCTACTAGGGGAGAGAAGCCATGTGAAAGAGGAACTAAATTACATTTTATGGTCTTTCTACCGTTGTACTGCCCACACCTAGACAGGCCATAAACCAATTAAGAAACTAGGAAATGGCTGAAGATCATGAAATGGAGCTTTATTAGAAGAAGTGATGACCTCTGCTCGGTGGAATTCAAAAAACTAAAAGAAGGCGGGAAAGCTAAAGAGTTAAGGCGTTAACCCTGGAGGCTTTCACTTTAGAAGGCCTGGGTTTGTATCTCGGCTATCTCTTGTTATGTGACCTTAAGGATGTGTTACTTTTACGTCTCCACACTCTAGTTTCTTCATCATTAAAATAAATGTACTTAAATGCTCTCGGTTACACTGAGATAATACACATCAGGGGGCTTTACACAGTGCCCAGCCTGTAAGAAACACTCTATAAATGTAAACTGCCATTATTATACTGATCAAAGCGTGCTGACTTTACCAGCAGCTATTGGCTGACTACAGTTCTGTGGAGCAATAGAAAGCTTGATACTCCACTGAGTTGGAAGACGTTACACGATAAAGAGGCGAGGTCTGGCTGCAGGCCCCAGCATCCAGGACTCTTAGCTTCCACGAAGTTTGTCTCACACCGCGGAAGCGGCAGTCGGCCGCTCTAGGAACGTCGTCTTCTCAGTGGTGCTAGGCCTCGCGCTTGCGCGGTGGGTGCGGCGGCGGGCGAGGGGCGGGCCAGACCCGCGGAGCTCGGGGCGCGGCGGCAAGGGACGGTGGAGCGGCGCCTGCTTTTCCAGGTAACGGCGTTGGCGGGCGCTTGAGAGGTCGGGGTTTCAGGCTCCGGTTGGGGAGGTGGCCTTCGCGCTCGCCAGGTCTCTGGTCCACCGTGGACCCTATCAGCTAAAGCTTCTCTTTTCCCTAAGTCCGGTCGGAGCGCTGGGGCGACCCGGACAGCATCCGTCCGACGTGACCGGGAAGCCGCGGGAGGTCCGCCTTAGCCTCGCGCCCTTCTCCGCTCCTGAAAACCCTGACCCACCCCGGCGCGCCACGGGGAACCCAAATTTATGTTCACGAATTTATCCCTCTCGAGTGTCAGAGGTAGAGGGTTCATCCCCAGGTTCTGCCCTTTGATTGCGTTCTTTAGGGACTGGACCTCAGTACCTCACCGAGCAGCCTAGTTCCTTTCCTGTTGGGGCGAACTCTTCCTCACACGACTTTCATTATCTGGTTTTACCCAGAGCGACGCTAAGCCATCCCAGTATTCGAAGACAGATGCCATTTATTCTTTCACACCCACCTCCTGGGTTCATGCGCCCGAGTTCCTTCACCTAGCCCTTACAGGGCCTCACCTTTAAGGCCATTCATTCTGGTAATCCTTTTCTGAATCCACTGCCATTTTTCAGTGTTTCTCCCAGACCGGCTTCCTAAAGTACATTTGTAAATAACACAGTTCTCAAGTCAGACAGACTTGAATTCTAATACAGTGCTGTGCTTTGGGTAAGTCCCTTATGTTCTCTAAGCCTCGGTTTTCTCATCTGAAAATGGGATAATCATATGATTGTGTTTCCAGGTGGCTGTGAGGATGAAAGGAGGTGAAGAACACAAAGTATTTAGCGTGCTGCCTGGCACATAGAAAGCACTCAATTGATGTCAGTTATTTTTTAAACAGATTATTCCCCAAAGAAGCTCGATTTTCTTAGAATCAAATATAAAATACAATAATAGCAATAAAACAGTTTTCATTAGTTATATATATATATTTTAAATGGTTACTTAAATACAGATGAGTGCTGAATGAAGAGGACACTGGTCAAATAATGGTACGATCTGATACAATCACTTTGGAATACAATGGAAATATATGTCAGGAGCTTTGGAAATGTCAGTTACTTCATTTCACAAATACATAGATGAAAATTTTCTCTGGAAAATCATAATGCAGAAAACATTTATGCAGAAAGATGGTAATTATAATTGGTAAGAGTGAAAACATTTAAACTTTTTATAGTGGAAAATTTCAACATACTCAAAAGTAGAGCAGTTAAATGAGTGCCATGTACTTATCACCTGCCTTCAACAATGACCAGTATTTTCCTATCTTATTTTTATGAAAAATTTTAAACCTACTAAATGTCTGAAAATAGGTGAACAGGTGAATAAATTGGGGTATGTGTTTTTAGACTGCTATGAAACAGAATAGTACAGAATTGTATATATGGTATTGTCACAACTGCAAATTCAAAAGCTAATATCCAATCTGTAGGAAAAAAGAAGGAAGTCCAATAAAATATAACTAGTTTCACTTTATGTGATTTCCTCCCTTTCTATTTTTAGATAATTTATAAATATTCCATGAAAATCATATATTGTCACAACAAAAAAACAAACAAAATCTAAAAATACTGCAGCAAACTAAGCACAATAGAATATGCCATAACAGTTTCACTGTTACAGAGAATAAAGATGTTTTTACTTGCTCTGTTTTTGCAGGCTACCTTTTCATGAACATTCTTGTCTACTACTTTGCATTAAAGTATTTCATTCTGAGCTTATATGAAGCTCAGCTAATACATGCTTTATGTGTAAGTAATATGACTCTGGAGTTGTATTCCCCTTATTTTGACTAGTATTCCCCTTCATGATAGAGCAGGGTTCCTGTGGTAGGATGACTCTTTTTCCCATTTCTTATTTCTGTCCTGAACAGGGATCCAACTCATACCTCATGTGTTTCCATACTCTTCCTAGAACAAGCACTTTAAACAATCAAGTAAGGTAATTTTGTTTCATCACAAAAATTTTCTTGCTCAAATAGACTGTAATGAGATTCTAGCTAAATATATATTCTGCTCTTGGTTGATAAACTAAATCTACTTTTTAAACAGACAGTACATTTAAGAGACTGATAACCTTACGGAAAAATGTATAAATGAGTTTTGTTTCAAATCAATTTGTGAAGAAACTTTGTTTCCTAGGTATGAAAAGAAGTTTTCTCACACAGATGTCCTTAGAGGTAATATGGATCAGTCCGGAGTTCTCCTCTGGGTGAAAGCAGAACCCTTTATAGTGGGTGCCTTGCAGGTACCCCCTCCATCCAAGTTCAGTCTTCATTATCTCAGGAAGATATCCACCTATGTGCGAACCCGGGCCACAGAGGGAGCTTACCCACGCCTGTACTGGTCTACATGGAGGCACATTGCATGTGGGAAGCTGCAGTTGACTAAGGATCTAGCATGGCTTTACTTTGAAATATTTGATAGTCTTGTAGTGAAGACACCAGAGGAGCGCCTGGAATGGTCTGAGATTCTGTCCAATTGTATGTCTGAGGAGGAAGTCGAAAAGCAAAGAAATCAGGTATAGATTTATACATATGTGTTTTTAGTAACTTTGGGAAGTAAACTTTTTTATTTTTGTACTAGTATCTGCAGTTTTAGGGTAATGACCATTGTGAGCCCAAAGGACCATTTGAGTTTTAGCATCACCAGTTTGGCAGTATTTAATGAATTAGTCCATCCTTAGCCATCCTTATTCACCTACTTCCAAAACAATAATGTTATAGGAACCCTGTAATTGAAAGACAGAAATATTTTCATTGATGTTAAAAATACTTTGAGGCAAGTGAATGCTTGTGAACCACTGATATGTTACAATCAGAGCACCTGACTGTTTTTAAGTGAGCAACTGCTATGTGCTGACATTCAAAGATGATTAGAACAGCATCTCAGCACTCATGGAGCTCATGGACTAGTAGGAGAAGCTGGTATGTATGAAAAAGCTATTTAGTAGTGTGGAATGTACAATAATAAAAGTATGCATAAAGTACAGAAGTAGAGTAGAGAAGAGACTGATTAATTCTGGTGAGCAAGAAAGACTTCACAGAGAAAATATATTAATCAAAGTAGGCCAATTACAGTAACAAGCAAACCCAGCATTTCAGTGGCTTAGCACAATAACAGTTTATTTCTCATTCATGCAGCATTCCAACACAGGGCATCTGGTTGGATGGGTCTCTAGGCTGCTGTTGTCTGGGCAATGACTCAGGGCTCTAGGCATCTTCTGTTTTTAGAGCCACTATTATGTTAGCTTTGCTGCAGTTAAAAACAAACAAATGAAATTCCAGTGGCTTGCAGTAACAAAGGTTTATTTCTTGCTTATTTTACATGTAGACTGCTACTTAGGTATGGCTCTCTGCTAGGCTGTGGCCTGGCTCTTTATGTCTACTTGTTTGGGGACCCAAATTTGATGAAAATTTGAGGCCTGCTCCCCAGCAAAACATACATATGCTAAAAAATTACATACAGTTTCAGTTGTTGTGCTGATATCCTAAACTTCCTTGGTAGGTCTGTGTGCTTAGGATAAACTAACATGTGTCATGACTAAATTGCCTCCTTCCTTTCTTCCATCTATTTATCTAAATTGCTAAGGTTTTTTTTTTTAACTACAATTTTTTAAATTAAAGTATCATTGATGTACAATCTTATGATGGTTTCACATACACAACATAGTGCTTCAACATGCACCCATATTATCGAGTCCTCACCCCCTCCATTGTGGTCACTATCTATCAACGTAGTAAGATGTTATAGAGTCATTAATTGTCTTCTCCGTGCTATACGACTGTCCCTGTGACCTACCTATATTGTGATTTTGAATTATAATGTCCCTTAATCCCCTTCCCCCTCCCCATCTATCCTCCCCAACCCCTCCCCTTTGGTAACCACTAATCCCTTCTCGGTGTCTGAGTCTATTGCTATTTTGTTCCTACCGTTTTGCTTTGTTTAACTGCAATTTTAAGCTTTAAAAATAGTATACGTTTAAAAATGATACACTTCCTCCTTTCCTCTTCATCAGTTTTGGGACAGAATGTCTGTGGCGATAGATAAGTAACTCCAGTTTAATTATTTTTAGAAACTCCCATCTTAGTATCAGAGACATATATATCAAATGCTAAGAGTGTTTTTACATTTGTCTTCATAAGATCAGCAAAAAGTTCCGAATTTACTGTATTTACTTAGTTATAGACTAGTGATTGATGTGCTTTTAGGACATGTGTTCCTCATTTATTTTCTTCTTGGACAGCTTTCAGTGGACACCCTACAATTCCTGCTCTTCCTATACATACAGCAGTTAAACAAGGTCTCTCTGAGGACCTCTTTGATTGGAGAAGAGTGGCCTGGTCCCAGAAACAGATCCCAGTCTCCTGACCTGACTGAAAAATCCAGTTGTCATATTAAGGTACCATTTAAATTTTGGTTTATTTATCTGAAAGGGACAGTTTGTGAGGGACATGGTTTGACTTCATTAAAAATTATGTTTGGATTACTTATATAAACTTGTAGTCTGCTGATTTATTTTTGTTTGCTTTGCTTTTGCTTTTTTTTCCAAATTTTAAAACAAAACCAGTATGTAATCTTAATCAAAATAGAGAAGTAATTTCAGTTCCTTCAATGATACAAAAATTACTTACATGATTTTTGGGCGAATCATTCAGTATATGCTTATTAGCATTCCCATTTTTGCAAATGTTAATGAATTTAAATTTACTTATTTGACTTGTTAGGGTAAATGAGAAAGTGTAATGTTTTCAAAGTCTGCTGAAATCTAAAAAAATTTTATAAAAGAATCTTCTAATGTGTTTAATATGCTTAATAAGTATGCTTGAGCTCAGCATGTGTAAGCAATTTTATATGTGATAACCAAGAAGTTAAATTTAACTGCCTCACATTGTGAGTTTTAGAAAATATCTTATATCTTCTTTCTGTTTTGGTAAAGAAAACCGAAATGTTTTTACCTGTTTGTGTAAAAGTATTTTGAAAAAATTTAAGTAAAACATAGATCTCAATATTATTAACATGTGCAGGCCCTTTAAAAGTATTCTAAAGTTAAAAAAATAAACCGCTCTGGCCCTTTCATAATCTCCTTTTTCAGATAAATCTGTCTACCCTTATTTTCCATGATACTGTTCCCTCTTGGTTCTGTTTCTCATTCTTCTTTCTCAGTCTTCAGGAGCCTCCCTCCCTCTGGCCATTATAGACCACTATTCTCTCAGGATTCTGCCTGTGGCAGTTGTTTCTTCTCATTCAACATAATTAAGTGTAATTCTTTCTCTTCCCATGGCTTCATATATCTCAGTGACTCTTGAGTTTGTCTCCATTCTAGATTTCCTTCTTCACATAAATACTATCTATACCTTAAATTCAGAATGCCTAAGTCCAGATGTATTAGAGATACCAATCATCACCTGTACTTCATACATGTAATTCCAGCTAAATGGGCACCATTTAGAAATGGTATTTTGAATGAGGGTACCCTGCATTCAAATCAGATCTGTCAGTGAATATCACATGATATTAGGCAAGTCAATTAAGTTTTCCAGACCTTGGCTTCTTTTCTCTAAATGGAGGTGATAATGCCTATTTCTGAATAGCTGTGAGAATTAAGTAAAATATTACCATGAGACTTTTGCATAGTAATGGTAGTAAATGGTGACTCTAGTTTGTGCTGTAGCATGACCTCTTCCAATAACTGATTGGACCAGGGCTGGACACGTGACTAGAGTAACCCATTCATTGGTATGTATTTGAGATTCATCTAATTTGAAATGATGACCCAGTCAGTGCCCTCAGGGACTGAAGAAATGACCAATTGATGATGAGTGCTTGACCCAACAGCTCATGTGGCACTGGGACCCAAATAGCCACTGTGTTCATGAATGACCTGGAGTTTTGAGGCATTAGAAACTCTGAAGTAATCAGAGAAAAAGAAGAGAAGGGAATAGACATGCAGAGAGACACAGGCCTCTGAGAGAGAACCCGATTTGAGATGGCTGTCCAATTCCAGTTCTGATGAGACCTGTTTCAGTTTGGGAGGTGACTGTGTGTCCCTATAGTAAACACTCACTTTACTTGAACTAACATACTCCCTGTGGACAGTTGCCACCAGCCACTCATGTTCTTTCTCTCACCACCCATACCTAGTTAGTTATTAAGTGATAACTGATTCTGCCTCCAAAAATCTTAAAAAATCTCTTCCTTTTCTTCCTCTTTTATAGGCTGTAATGTATTTCTTTTTTTGCCTCGATTCCTGTAATTATGTCCTACTAGATCACCCTTCTTTTAGTCTACAGTCCACATAATACACTGTACTTTAAAATGCAGATGGATCATATCCATCTCCAATTGAAACTCCATCAGTGAATGCTCATTGTCATTGTGTTTTCATCTTGTACTCCACGGAGCCAGGGCCTACTGTGGGCAAGGTGAATTCAGCAATAGGGAAGAAGAGCAGGTGAGGCTATGGACAGCTCTGCTATGGTATGTTCTTTGGCATCCAAATGAGAATTTATTAAACAGAAAAAAGGTATGATTATTTAGAAAATAGCTTGAAAGTTCCTGGCACACAAAATAAAGTCCAGATATTTTAGTATTTCGTGCAAGGCCTTTCATAATTGGTCCCTGACTACCATTTAACTTCACCTGCCACTTACCAGCATGCTTCCTACACCCCACCCAGAAACTCCAGTTCTCTAAACACAGCAGGTAATTTTACTTTTGGCCTTTGCACATGCTATTGCCTAGGCCCAGAATGTCTTTTCTCCTTATCTGTTTGTAGAGCTGGCAACATCAGTCAAGAATCTATTCAAATAGTATTCCATTATGATTTTTTTCCCCCAAGTAGAGTTCTTGCTCCTCTCATGCTTATAGAATGTCTTAATAGATCTCTGCTATAGGTCTTATCTCATTGTGTTATAGTTATTTATGTGTATTGTGTTTTTCCCTTCATAGACACAGGAACTATACCTTGAGGACAGGAACTATACCTTAATTCAATTTGCATAATTCATTACTTAACACTGCTCATCCCTCATGAGAGTTACTCAGAAAGTATCTGTCAAATGAGCCAAGTTATTGGGACATCTGCCAACTGAAAGCTTGTCCCAAAGTTACATCTTAAATCTGGTTACTGTAAAACCATTGCCTTGTTTCATCCAGTGGAATTTGAAATTCCTTCTGTAATTTGAGAAGGTAAATAAAGAAATCCAATGCTTTGTCAAGTAAGTGTCCAAGGTGGTTATTTTTATGTTTGATCTGAACTTTTAAGAGTAGTAGCTGTGTGACCTTGGGCAAGTTTAATCTTTCTGTATTTTGTAATTTGTAATACATTTCCTCATTTGTAAAACGGCCAAGGTAATGGCATCTAGTGTAAGATTGTTGCTAGGAGTATGTTAAAGTTTGTGTAACAGTTAGTGCTTGGCACACCCTGAGGGTTAGCTAATTAGTATTACTTTTGAATTAAGTTAAGTTAGAGAATCTGTTTATACCTACCACATACATAAAGAATCTTTGGAAGATTTATATAACTACCTTAGATGTTTTAATTGGGGTGAGGCAAATATAAATACACATTAATTAAAATATAAATGTTTCAGGTCTTATGGAATCTCTTCATTCTGTTAAGAGTCTTTCTTTTGGTATTTTTTAGAATTGGAATGATTATAGTCACCATGCTTTTGTCTATGATCATCTGTCAGATCTCCTTGAGCTGCTTTTAGATCCAGAACAACTCACTGCATCATTTCATTCGACCTGTAGTAGTCTGGTCTCTCGAGAAGCTGTCGGGGCACTCAGCTTTCTTATTGAGGGTACAGTGAGTAGAGCCAGAAAGATATATCCACTTCATGAACTTGCACTGTGGCGACCACTGCATGCAGAAAGTGGCTTTTCAAAGATCTCTAAGGCCTTTTCTTTCTACAAGCTGGAAGCCTGGTTGAGAGCCTGTTTGACTGGGAACCCATTTGGTACCTCTGCTTGTCTCAAGTCTGGAAAGAAATTGGCGTGGGCTCACCAAGGTATTCTTTAATACTTTAATCTATATTAAATTGAATGGCAAGTTAAGAAACATAGTGTTTTCTGTGAACTAAGGATCACATTTCCTCTGTAAAAGAACTATAAAACAGAAAAAGGGAACATCTTTTTGTTTGTATATGACTTTTCTGTCAAGGCAGGAATAGTCTCAGTTAATTTGTCAGTCCAAGTTGTTTTGGTTTCAGTTACTAGAACTCCAACTTCAGTTAGAGCTCTCTTTGCTCTGCTTTTCTCTTTTCCAACTCGTTCCTTCCCTCACTCATTTGCTTGAGGCTTTCCTTTTTTCTATGCACCACAGCAAAATTTGGCCATTCCACAGTAACAATCTCAGAGAGACAGTGTAGAGATGAGGTCCTTTTTTCTACACAGATACAAGCAGACTAGATATTTCTAAAAAGGAAATTTTAATTTACAGTAGGGAGAATCTGGTCTTGGTTGCATCAGTTATCTATTCCTGATAATCCAGCAGTGGCTAAAGGGATAGGTTCAGGTACGATGCAACTTCTTGGGGCCCAGGTATGTTTTAAGAGGCAAAGGGCCCAGATATAAGATTAAAGAGAAGTAGGTTCCTACACTGAGGCAAATACTGGGCACAGTTAATGAAAAAAACCTAGCATATACTTCTACAATCTCTGTATTTCAAAGTAAAGAAAAAATAGGTTCCATGCCAATGTAAAAAAAAACCAAAACCAGTTCTGTATCAAATTGCTATGCTAAAAACAAAATAGTTGAACAACTATTTTTGAATCTACAGAATCTTGAACAAAAGGATTGTGCTCTAGGAATTCTATATCCAACCAAGCTATTTCTCTAGGATGAGGTCAAAGATTGTCAGATATGTAAGGCACCCATAAATATATAGGAGATACCACATAATTCTTAATGTTGATAAAGAATATAGGTGCAAGTAAGTTTTGAAACATTGTTAGGATAGGCACTAGTAGGAGAAAGAAGGCTATCTAACCTCTTAGAATTTTACTAAAATGTTAACAGTGTTAGATAGTAGGATTACAGATAATTTTCATCTCTTTTACTACCAGTATTTAAAATTTTTCTACACTAACCAGGTATTACTTACCTAATAAAAGGAAACAATGAGAATTGTTTTAGAAGAGTAACAGCATACTTATGTGACCTCTACAGACTTGGCCAGTATTCTTTACAAGAGTGTCCTGATGACTTACAGGGACATACAGTCTAATAAGCTAGTCACAGAATGGTGAGACTGTGTTAGTAGGCCAGCCTGCATAGATTTTTTTTTTTAGTGTAAGTTTGTGTAACTCATTGTATACAAGAGAAAGATGTGCTCTCATTTAGTAATGGTCTTGGAAGTAAAGGCATGAACTCAAATACAATTCATGGAATGATGTGATAAGTAACTTGGGAGGGTTCAGAATTAGTATCATGGCAATTTAAAGAGGTTATTTAAGGGTGGGCATCTTGGAGAAGAACATATTTGAGTTGGGCCAGCTCCTCCATTACTAGCCATATGACCTTAGGCACACTACTTAACTTGAAGGGTAGATGTGATAAAAATCTTAGATCTGTAGGCAGTCCTGAGTGGATTATGGATTTCAAAATTTTTTTATAAAAAATTATCAAATATTTGAAACATACAGAAAAGTACAGAGAATAGTAAACACCTCTTTACAAAATACCTAGAACTAACATTTTTTAAACCTCATGTGTATCTAATTTTAGATGAGTATACATGTAGTCATGTGTAACCTCATATGGTTGGTTGTTTTTTTTTATTTGAAACTATTTCATTTTATTTTTCTTAAATAGTTGAAGGGACGACCAGAAGGGCTAAGATTGCTTGTAATACTCATGTGGCCCCTAGGATGCACCGCCTGGTGGTGATGAGCCAGGTTTACAAGCAGACATTGGCCAAGAGCTCAGATACTCTTGTAGGGGCACATGTAAAAATTCATCGTTGCAACGAATCTTTTATATATCTGCTCTCTCCCTTACGGTAAGCACAATTTTCATAGTGTTCTGACATTTTGACATTTTCTATGGACTATGATTGATAAGTTCATCAGTGACTAATATTGTAGTTATATTTTTTTAAATCTTACTCTCATCCAGAGGAATTTACCTACTTTTTTCTTGCAGGTCTGTGACAATTGAGAAATGCAGGAATAGCACCTTTGTCCTGGGCCCTATACAGACTGCTCTTCACCTCCACAGCTGTGACAGTGTTAAGGTCATTGCTGTTTGCCATCGTTTGTCCATCTCTTCTACCACAGGTTGCATCTTTCATATTCTGACGCCTACCCGCCCACTTGTTCTCTCTGGGAACCGGACAGTAACTTTTGCCCCTTTTCATACCCATTACCCAATGCTGGAGGACCATATGGCCAGGACTGGGCTTGCTACTGTGCCTAACTATTGGGATAATCCAATGATTGTGTGCCGAGAGAATAGCAACACAAGTGTCTTCCAACTCTTGCCGCCTTGTGAATTCTATGTATTTATTATTCCCTTTGAAATGCAAGGAGACACAACAGAGATACCTGGGGGTCTTCCAGCTGCATACCAGAAAGCACTGGGGCAAAGAGAACAGAAGATACAAATCTGGCAGAAAACTGTGAAAGAGGCTCATTTGACAAAGTAAGTATTTGCTAGAAGTAATAATTTGTCTTATGTAAAACTTAATGAGAAAGCAAATTAATCTGCACATGTTTATAGATGTGCTAACGTAGTAATAAAGATAATGTGTGTCTTTTGGTAAGGTCAGTGTGCCAGGTGCTGTTTGGTTGAGGGTTGGGAGCAAGTGGATACTCAAGCATTAGACTCCCTTCTAGAAACTTAATTAGTTGTCAGATAGAAGACTTATGTGAATGACAGGATAATATATAGAATATGCCACATAATCTAATACTTAAATGGATCCATTATAGCTCTTAGTTTACTTCTCTACACTATACTGGTAGTTCTCAAACTTCGTTGTGCATCAGAATCATTCAAGGAGCTTGTTAACAATGCAGATTTCTTGGCTCTACCACATCACAGACAGATTCTCCAAGGGTGGATTCTTAATGCTGGCCTGTAGACTAATGCCAGTTTTTGTCAGAGTTTTTCCAAATCCATGGTAAAATGTGAAACATACATACAGAGTTTTAAAATAAAGCTAAATTTAGTCAATGTAAAATATTTCCTTTTGTTCTGAGATTGTTTCCTTCCTACTTTTGGGGTACTCAGAAACTTTATTTTTAATAATGTGCTTGTGATAGTAGATGATTGTGGTTTATTATGTCCACCACAACATTTTATTTCAAGGGTATTCGTCTTTAAACATACACTATATGGTTTATAGAGATTCAGAAAACATCAGTGTAGGTAATCAGGGATGATCTATGGAGGAAGCAGAATGTGTGTTGGATCTGGAAGAATGAGCAGACTTCTGAGAGGAAGCAAGCACTGGGCAGAATACTTCCAACAGAACTATAGGAGCAGATGTGGAAGCACAGGTAGACCTTAGGTATCCTGTAAATCTGTTGAACCAAGATTCTGGTATGGAGTAGTGGTACTTAAGCTTGGATGATAGATTGAGCCAGATGATGTAGAATCTTGAATGCCAGGCAGTGAAAGTTAGATTTAAGTGGAATAAAGCAGTAGGAGCCATTAACTGGTTTTGAACAGTGGAATGAAGTTCAGAAATCTATTTTATTTATTCAGGAGCATTTATAGAATGCAATGTGCAAACTAGTTTATTAGATGCCATGACAGATTAAAAAATGTGATTGGCACATATGAAGATCCACTGGCTAGAGGGAATTGGAAGAGGGATATCAGGGTAATATTGCAATAGTCTAGACCAAAATACCGGACTAGAGTGGAGAAAAAGAGGCTGGAGACCAGAAACACTTTGATAGGAGGCAGAACTTGGTGCAAGATTTTGTGAAAAAGACAAGAAAATCAATGACTCCAAAAATTGAAGCCCAGCTTAGAAACTTTTGAAACATGTAGAGAATAATAAACATCTCTTTACCCAATACCTATATCTAACATTTTTTAAACCTCATGTGTATCTAATTTTAGATGTGTGTAAATGTAGTCATGTGTAACCTCATATGGTTGTTTTTCATTCATTTCTTTTTTCCTTAAATAGTTGAAGGGACAACCAGAAGGGCTAAGATTGTTTGTAATACTCATGTGGCCCCTAGGATGCACCACCTGGTGGTGATGAACCAGGTTTACAAGCAGACGTTGACCAAGAGCTCAGATACTCTGGTTGGGGCACATGTAAAGATTCGTTGTTAAAACAAATCTTTTGTATATAAGTTTTCTTCTGTACAGGATAGCATGTACAACTAAAAAGTAGTGGATGCTCAGAATAAGTAATTATTGTTTATAGAGCTATTTGGTATATAATCAAATTTTGTTAGATATATTAGGAAAGGAAAATGGGGAACATTATAGTTCCAAAAGTAGAAGGTTGCTTCTTCTACAACATTGTCTATTTGAGAGCTAGAGTGTTTCAGAAAAGGGTATCAAGTTCTTCTGGGGGATTTTTACATGAAGTGTCATATGTCCTGATAATATCTTGATCATTATAACCCATTTCTTTAAGACTTAGAAAACTCTTACTTTAATAATTGGATTCATTTGCCTGATACTAGTTTTTTGGATTTTTCCTGGTTGTGATTATCTTGGAAAATAGCAGCCATTCCAAAAATGTTTCTGTTTCTGGTATCTAGAGCTGCTATTTCATATATGAATAAAAATGCTTATTTTAATTAGATCTCTTATTTTTATGAGATTTTAAAATTAATATTGTTCTTTGAATAGCTGAGCCCATTTTATAGTGGAAAGTGCTAGACTCAGGAATTAGTACTGCCACACCACTCTGGCTCTTATTGGTATCACATACAAAGTATATTTTCCACCTAATGAGATTGATACGAAAGTTTAATAAGATGTGTATGTTGAGACAATGTGCATAGTAGTGTGTGCTGTATTATATGTATGAATATGAGTGTAAGGAATGTGTTTAGTGATGTGTATTTGAGAAAACATCTTCTAGGTGAGATTGTTTACCCAGAATATCTGAGACCTGACCTGTTAGAATTAACTTTGTTTTAAGAGAAATAGTAATTGAAAAAATACTTGATCCAGCCATGGTATTTCCTGAATATATTCTCATTGTTTTGTTTTCATCATGTGGATTAAGAAATGAAATACATAATATTTTGTTAGATAATTGCATTTAAACTCTTTAAACCAGTTGCTACCTGCCAAAAATACAAAGATCAAAATCAGTTATAACTCATGTTTTACCTGGTAATCCTTCGTAATAATGCTGCTGTTATCTGTTACAAACATTCCACCTAGCTTATATCTCATGGAATGAGCCACCAAGGTACTAATAGTATTGATCAGTCATTCTCAGCTTAGCAGAGTACTTACTACGTACCAAGTACTATTCTTAGCACTTTGTGTATTAACTCATTTGTTCTTCCTAACAATACCCTACCATAAATGAGGAGACTGAGGAACAGAGAGATTTAAGTAGTTTACCCAGAGTCACACAGGAGCCAGGATTTACACCTACTCAGTCTGGTTCCAAGACCTGGGTTCCTAGTATCTTTTTTGTTTTCTGTGAACTACTGTCATGTAAATATAAATATAATTTAATATATATATAATATAATATGATATAATTTAATATATATAATATAATATATGATATGATATATAAATAATATAATATAATATAATATAATACACACAACCTTGCCCCTTATCTGCAAGGGATATGTTCTAGGACCCTCAGTGGATGCCTGAAACTGTAGACGATACCAGACCTTATATATATATACTATGTTTTTTCCTATGTATACATATCTGTGATAAGGTTTAAATTAGGCATGGTGAGATTAAGAGCAATAATAATAAAGTAGAACAATTATACTATAATAAAAGTTACATAAATGTGATCTCTCATAGTATCTTACTGTACTGTATTTACCCTTCTTGTGGTGATGTGAGATTATAAAATGCCTGTGTGCTGAGTTGAACTGAGGTGAATGACATAGGCATTATGATATAGTATTTGGCTGCCACTGACCTTCTGACAACCAGTCATAGGAGGATCATCTGCTTCCAGATTGTGGGTGACTGCAGGTGACTGAAACTGTGGAAAATGAAACTGCAGATAAGGGAGGACTACTGTATAATATAATCATTATAATGATGTTATATAAAAATGGTTGACCATTGGAAACAAATCCTTTTAAAGCAATTCTTTTGTTTAAATGCTTTAGTACTTAAATGCCTAGATTTTCTTACACATGAAAAGCTTATACACATGTACAGAATCTAGATTATCATAAGCATTTAATAAATGTTGATTCTGAATCATTGTGTATTCAAGTGGTGAGATCCATGATAACATCAGAAACAAGAAAAAGCACTCCATTTAACTATGGGAATTTAGGAACACAAGAATTATTGACAGGTTTGAAAACAAATTGCCAACATGATCCTTTAAAAGTGATTAGATCATATCATTTCCCTGCTCTGACCCTTCTAATTATTTCCCATCATACTTGGAATAAAACCTAAAACCTTTACTTTACCTACCAGGCCCTCTCTGCCTCATTTTCTGCCATTTTTTTCCTCATTCACTCCCCTCTCACTATGTAACAGTTTTGCTATTACCTAGTCATTGACTCCAGCCAAAGACCACCAGGAATATATCTGTAGAATAAAGTTGGATTTTATTATTCATTGCAAGGAAGGAGAGAACTTGTTTCATATTGGTAAAAAGGTAATTTTCAAAACTTAGATTTTGGCTTGTGTTAGGTGATTTGGGGGAGGTTTCTAGAAAGCAAGGCTTTCTTGTGGGTTGGGTACTATCTGGAAGGGAGGGTAATTCTGTGATTCATTTTTTGTATCTTAATTTTTATATCAAAGGCAAAAGGAATAAAGTAAAGTTAAAACTGTAAATAAAAAGGAACAGCAGTCACTCATTAGCCATGAAAAGGTGAGGTTTGGTGAATTTTGTGGTTTGGACCACAGAATGTTTCTGTTTTTTGCTATCATCTCTCAAGATGATAATGGAGTGATCTTGTTCTTTCCTTGATCTGTCATCATGTCATAGCACCCATGTCTAATGTTAGCGTTCCGTGGGATTCTTTTGTGTTCATCAGAAGAGCGCCATGGCCAGGCCAGAGCCTAGCCACACCAAGGCCTAGCTAATAGTGCTAATGCACTATCTCTTGGCTGTCTGGAGCTACGCTTCTCTTTCTTATCTTGAACATATTAAATATGCTTTCACTTTAAAGCCTTTGCACTTTGTGGTTCTTCTGCCTGGAATGTTCTTTTCCACATATTTATTTTGTTTCATACATCACTTCATTCAGACCTCTACTTAAGATGTTATCTTAGGCCTTGTCCATTCTTCTTCTAAAATAGCATTCCCAATACTCTCTATTCCAGTACTCCTGTATCAGTTACATTCGCATATATTTATTTTATTTATTACCCATCTTCCATACTAAAATGTACAGTTCTCAAGGAGCAGAAGTCACTGTGTGAATGGTACCCTCTGGAGTCATTCAGCACAGACCTGCCCAGACAGAAGCCTTCTCTTTTCTCTTTATGCATTTATCCCCATTAGTCAGAACACTACCCTGCATCCATGGTTCTCAGGAGATATCTATGAAGTGAATAACCATAGTAGAACAGAGTATTTAATTACAAGTCCTTACACAGAGGGCATTGTATCTGAGCAGTCTTTTTTTTTTTTTATGGTAATCCAATGTACAGAACTAAACAGCAGTTATTTGGAGAGGACAAATGGATAACTAGAAATGACTTAAGATTTGTTGCATTAAACTTTCATAATCACTTGGAATAAAATTAATATAAATTAGTGTTTTTACATTCATTCTGTTCCTTATTACAATTTTAGGGACCAAAGGAAGCAATTCCAGGTACTTGTGGAGAACAAGTTTTATGAGTGGTTGATTAATACAGGGCATCGCCAACAGCTGGACAGCCTTGTGCCCCCTGCAGCAGGCTCCAAACAAGCAGCAGGATAAGACTCCTGTGTTAGCTGCACTGGTAGGCATTTATAATGTAGACCATTTAAAAGTTATTTTGTGCAAGTCTTATAAGGGAATGAAAAACTGTACAGAATATTGTGCTAGCACCATTGCCAATTCTTTTTTTCATCACTCCCACCAACAGACCTTTACATATTTATATTTACTGCATTTTAGAGAGAGAAGACCAACCGAAATATTCAGGTGGAGCCTATAGGATTATGGGCAAATACAGTAGCCAAGTTTTGTCTTTTTTGCTTCTTGTCTGACCCAAGTTGTACTGTCCAAAGATAATACTTTCCCCATACATAACTTTAAGTTTTATTCCCCATTCTGTCACATCTTTCTTCTTTCCTATCACCCACACATAAACCAATTAACGAATTAGCTGATCTTTGTTAATTGTGTATATAAGCATTAATAACATAATCCAAATGAAGATTTGAATACTGAACTCTTAAGAGATTACAGATTAAATAAAAGAGAACATGAATACAGACATTTTCTGAAAGTTATTTAATCCAAATATATAGCATTCTTTTTAAAATAGAAATTAATTTACTTTATTGTTTTAAGGTATTTTTAAAGACTAGAAAAATAGACAATGGATATAAATACATAGTTCACAGAAAAATTCTTACAAACTCAAAGATACTTTCATTTAAAATTAAAGAAATATAAGATACTATTTCTTATCTGTCATTTGACAGATCAAAAGGATCAAAAACTGGTAGGACATTTAATTTTTTATTGGGGAAAATGTAAGTTTGTGCAACCTCTCGGTAGGTAGTTTGAGAAATTCAAAGTTTTAAATGCACACATGCTTTGACTTACATTTTCATTTCTTAAAGTTTATCTTACAGGTATACTTATGAAGCATTTTTTCAAATAGCTATGAACTAGAAACAGCCTAAATGTTTCTCAGTACAGGGCTGCTGCCTAATGAGTTGATTCATCCATGTCACAGAGTCCATCTTTAAAAAGAGTGAAGTATACCTGTATGTGTTGATACAGAGTGACCTCTAAAGATTGGAGGATTGGTGGATGACGGCAAAAAGTTGGGGAGTAAAATGTTGCCTTGTGTGTTTGAAAAAAGAAATGGGTTATCACATATATTTGTATACTATTACATTCCTAAAAAATTTCTGAAAGGATATAAAGAAAGCATTAATAGTGTTTATCTTTGAGAAATGAGATTCCTTGTCTAGGGTGCAAGAAAACTTAATTCTTACTGAGATGTAATTCACATGCCATAAAATTCACCTTTTTACAGTGAAAGATTCAGCGCATTTTACTATGTCCACCGGTTTGTACAACTATCACCATTAACAAATCCAGAACATCTCCATCGTCCTAAAAATAAACCTCATATGCATTGACAGTCATTCCCCATTTCTTTATACCCCAGTATATATATCCTCTTCACCCGATTCCCGGTGACCACTAATCTGTTTTTTGTCTCTTGATTTCTCCACGTGGGACAGTTCATATAAATGGAATCATATAACATGTGGCCTTTGTTTTAGCTTAATCTTTTCAAGGTTCATCCATGTTGTAGCATGTGTCAGTACCCCATTCCTTTTGTTACTGTATAATATTCCATTCTGGGGATATACTGCACTTTATCTATTCATCAGTTGATGGAGATTTGAGTTGTTTCCACTTTTCAGTTATTATGAATAATACTACTATGTACTTTTGTGTACAAGACATATGTTCATTTCTCTTGTGTATATATCTAGAAGTGCAAATATGTTTAGCTTTCCGAGGAACTACTGAATTGTTTCCAAAGCTATGAAAACTTACTCTTTATTATGTCCTTTGTATATTATTTGCATTCTTAAAGTGTGTATTACTTGTTATAAAAAAAAAGAATTTTATAATATTTATTTAATAGATGCTGAGATTAAGAATTGTAAATCTGATGAAGATTATACAACAGAATGGGAACCATAAGAAGGCAAAACTTTAGCTTAGACTGATCCCCATAGCCTCACACACTTTTATGTCTATGTATGAATTCCTTTTCTTCTATTATGAACTAATGTGGCCCTCAGAAAAAAGGATATAATTAACTTTATACGTATGTGTTTTATCATTCTAAACTATCACCTGACCTTGATTTATGTGATGTTATAAATGCAAGGGTTTTCCATATTATTTGCCTGAAGGCAATAGAAAATTTTAATAATACTTTTCTTTGGTTATCTTCAGGACTCTGGAAACATGAAGGAGAATGGAAGATAGTGCATGTCTTGAAACTAAATTCGGAAGATGCTCTTGCTGCTTAAAAGACTTTGGGGGTATTTTCTTCCTATTTAAGACCTTTCCTTGATTTCCATTCCACACTCATGTCTCATGTATTACTATTTAGATTGAATTTTAGCTAAACTTACATTATATAAACATATTGTTTATAGACCATCAGAAAGCTCATCTTTGTGATGCCAAAATAAAAAAGTTGATGAAGTTAGTTCCATTGTGTATATGTTAATACTAAAGTGAGAGTAGATTTGCAAGGGAACTTCACATTTTACTTTGTATGATGAAAGGGTTTCATCCTTTGTAGAGTTAAATAAGAGTTTTATAGTTCTTTGTAACTATTTAAAAAGAAGATGCTCCTTTTAAAAAGCAATTGGAAAGAATATATTATTTGTTGGTGTATAAATATAGTAGAAATAGTTTTATACAAATGTATTTTAGTCCTGAAAGTATGAAGCAATGAAATTGTGTGAAATCTTTATTTTTCATTTTCTGCTTCAGATTTTCAATAAAAAAAATCTAAAAAGTAGTTTTCTCCTTTTGATAAAATGGTGAAGCTTTACTTTAATTTTTAAAAAGATATTGTGGGTATAATAAAATACCTAGGAATAAACCTAACCAAGAAAGTGAAAGACCTACACCCTGAAAACTACAAGACACTCATGAGAGAAATTAAAGAAGGTACCAATAAATGGAAACACATCCCATGCTCATGGATTGGAAGAATTAATATTGTCAAAATGGCCATCCTGCCTAAAGTAATCTACAGATTCAGTGCAATCCCTATCAAAATACCAACAGCATTCTTCAACAAACTAGAGCAAATAGTTCTAAAATTCATATGGAACCACAAAAGACCCTGAATAGCCAAAGCAATCCTGAGAAGGAAGAATAAAGCGGTGGGGTGGGGCGGGATTACGCTCCCCGACTTCAAGTGCTACTACAAAGCCACAGTGATCAAGACAATTTGGTACTGGCACAAGAACAGACCCATAGACCAATGGAACAGACTAGAGAGCCTAGATATAAACTCAAGCATATATGGTCAATTAATATAAGATAAAGGAGCCATGGACATACAATGGGAAAATGACAGCCTCTTCAACAGCTGGTGTTGGCAAAACTGAACAGCTACATATAAGGGAATGAAACTGGATTATTGTCTAACCCCATACACAAAAGTAAACTCGAAATGGATCAAAGACCTGAATGTAAGTCATGAAATGATAAAACCCTTAGAAGAAAACATAGGCAAAACTCTTGAATATAAATACGAGCAACTTTTTCCTGAATGCATCTATTTCCCCAGGTAAGGGAAACAAAATAAAAAATGAACAAATGGGACTACATCATGCCAAAAAGCTTCTATACAGCAAAGAACACCATCAGCAGAACAAAAAGGCATCCTACATTATGGGAGAATATATTTATAAATGACATATCTAACAAGGGGTTAACATCCAAAATATATAAAGAACTCACACACCTCAACACCAATAAAGCAAATAATCCAATTAATAAATGAGCGGAGGATATGAACAGACATTTCTCCAAAGAAATTAAGATGGCCAACAGGCACGTGAAAAGATGCTCCACATCGCTAATTATCAGGAAAATGCAAATTAAAACCACAATGAGATACCACCTCGCACCAGTTAGGATGACCAACATCGAAAAGAATAGGATCAACCAATGCTGGCGAGGATGTGGAGAAAGGGGAGCCCTCCCTCCTATACTGCTGGTGGCTATGTAAACTAGTTCAACCATTGTGAAAAGCAGTATGAAGGTTCCTCAAAAAACTAAAAATAGAAAAATATTTGACCCAGGAATTCCACTCCTAGGAATTTACCCTAAGAATGTAGGATCCCAGTTTCAAAAAGACATATGCACCCCTATGTTTATCACAGCACTATTTACAGTAGCCAAGATATGGAAGCAACCTAAATGTCCATCAGTAGATAAATGGATAAAGATGTGGTACATAAGCAATGGAATATTATTCAGCCATAAGAAAAATCCTACCATTTACAACAACATGGATGGAGCTAGAGGGTATTAGTGAAATAAGCCAGGTGGGAAAGACAAGTACCAAATGATTTCACTCACCTGTGGAGCATAAGAACAAAGCAAAAACTGAAGGAACAAAACAGCTGCAGACTCAAAACCCAAAAACGGACTAACAGTTGCCAAAGGGAAAGGGGCTGGGGAGGGTGGCTAGGCAGGGAGGGAGAAGGGGAATAAGGGGCATTATGATTAGCACACATAATGTAGGGGGTGGCACAGGGAAGGCAGTATAGCACAGAGAAGACAAGTAGTGACTCTATAGCATCTTACTACACTGATGGACAGTGACTGCAATAGGATATGTGGTCGGGACTTGATAATGGGGGGAATCTAGTAACCACAATGTTGCTCATGTGATTTTATATTGATACCAAAATTTTAAAAAAAGATATTGTGGGGGAAGAAAGTACTTTTCTTCTACCTTTTATGTTCTTTTGGCTGGTCTGTTAATTAAATTGACAGGTTAACAAGAGAAAAAGAAACTTAGTTATGTATGTAAGGGAGTCCCATAAGGATAGAGGACCCAAAGACAAGTCAGGCAGTTGAGGGTTATATGAGCTGTGGAATGGGATAGAAGCTTGGGGTTTCAAAGGAAAGGAGGGTCATTCATAGGACAGTAAGAATAGCAGATGTTTGCCCTGCCATACAGATAAGTCATTCAGATAAAAAGTTATCTCCGGTAATAGCTCTCTTTCTGGGTCTGGCTCCCTGTCTAAATTTTTTTAGGTAGCCAAAGGAGAGTTAAAAGTTTTTTTTTAAATCCCTGGGTCTTGTTTCCTTTCAGTTCTAAATAATCCACATGCCTAAGTGGCATTTTTTGGGATCACGTATTCTGCTCCATCTCAGTTTCCCATGCCATTCTGTGATGTTATATCAAAATAAAGTTCACATTTGATTGGGAAAGCTGTACTCCTTAAAGAAAACCAATTATTAAATTAACAAAATAAATCAGATTGCTGATAAACATTGTGTTATATGCCCACTGGCTATTTAATTAGAATTATGTCAAAAAAAACGGCTTTCACTTTTATTTCTGAAGTGAAAATTAAACTTCAGAGTGTATTAATTCTAACTGAGGTTTTCAAAGTTTTTATTTTAAGATGGAAATTCAAGTAAGCAAAGCAATATCAAATGTTGGAGTAATAAAAGTATGTTTTGGAAGTTGCTATAGGTTAATGAAGTTAATGGTACTATTTAGATACTTTCTTTGAAGCTTATAAAATTCAGAAGATTAAGCATATAACTTAATACTTTGGTTCTCAGTAATCTTCATATCAAGGCATATTTGCCATTTTCTGAATTGGCAATAGTGTATTTTGGGGGAATCCCATATAAAAATATTTGTTGGATAGCTTTGTTAGTGGAAAGATGAGGGATATAAACTTAAGAAGAATATACTTGACCAGGAAAATTGAAGTGAAGAAGAGTTGATTTGTTTCTTTCACTTTACTTGAGATGTAATCTTATTCCTAAAGTAAGAGGTGTATTAAGTGCGAAAAAAATGTTCTCTAAACAGGTCCCAATATGATATCCTATCAGAGAAATGCCACCGAGTAGATGGTGGGTTGAGCTCAGCTAACCTTTTCAGATTCAGAATTCCCACAGTAGCTTTCTGTCCCTCATGCTACACAGTATAACACCTTTCCTTATGGATTAGAAATTGTGTGTGTTTGTGTGTGTCTGTATGTGTTTTGAAAAATTTCAAGCTTAACAGTTGCAAGAATCTAAATTTCCACACACCCTTTGTCTAGATCCATCATTTGTTAACATTTTGCCATTCACTTTGCCACTTCTCTGTAGAGTATTATAGTTTTATCTTTGCCCAATAATTTGAGAATAGATTGGAGACATTGGACCTTTGCTTCTAAATACAATAACATGTATTTAGGTAGTCATAGTATAAGTGATTAAATTCAGGAGGTTTAACAGTAGTACTATAGTGTTACCTAATATGCAGTTCATATTAATATTTTTGCCAATTATCCCAAAAATGTCCTTTGTAGTGACTTTATTACCAAACACAAGATTATGCATTGCCTTTAGCTGCCATGTAAATTTTGTTGCTTTAGAATATGTCACTTCTGTTCAGAATTAGAGGGTAGTCTTTTGACTTATCCCCTACAAGCTTTATTGAAGGAAAAAGAAGACATTGGAGATTTCCAGGTGGCTCCTTGCTAGAAAACCAAATTGCCCAGGTAAGATAGACATTTTTGCTTTTAATTTTAAAAACTTTGGCTGGGTTTTGGTGTCTTGACTCAGCAAAGTCTATAATGCAGCAAGGCTTGGTAAGCATTAAAGGGGGTGCTGGGCTTTCCTTTATTTCATAAGCCTGATTGTTTTTCTAGAAACCATCAATAGCCTCTAAATGACTGACTCAATTTTTGGATCCTATTCTCACGACTAAGCAAATGTTTGATTTGAAACCAGCCCAGTATAAATGTCTCTGTGCCTCTAACTGTCTGTAGCTATTCCTGGATTTCAGCACTGGGAAACTAACCTATGCACCAAAATGTCTAAAACTGGAACCAAGGTAAGTAAATGGTCATGAGGAATTTTAGCCTACCCACTTTCTTTTCATCTATGATACATTGAATGAGAGAGGAAGAAAAGCCTTTGCTTTGCCTGGAGGTAAGTATGATAGCAGAAGGTTAGATTTGGGAGAAAAGATTAAGAAATGCTAATTGTATTTTCTCCTCTAACAGAATTACCAAACAGTTTATTAAGGGTTATCTTTATGTGTGATGCTATTCTGAGTACTATACAGGTAGGTATACAACATGTAACTATCATCATGATTTCTGCCTTCCAGCAACTAATAGTCTGTGAATTTCCACAGGAATGGGACATGGTGATAAGAGGATTATGTGGAGAAGAAAACTTTAGTGTTCAATTAAAAATTTGTTTTGTGAAATTTAGCATCTACCGTTAATATATTAAAAGGCCAAGGAAGATAGACTAGTCAAGTGAATTAAATGCTACATATCCTCTCATTCAATCAGTTACTCTTACCCCTTTCCCCGAATAAAGTGCTTGCTTAAGCTAGGGAAATAACCTCTAAAGTAAGTGATTCACAATTGTTAGACTGGAAATTGATCTCTCATGCAGAGCTTTGCAAACAAGCGAACCTACCTTCATTCTCTTTGCAGCTCTTCCACTGACCAGATGGCAGAGCCACCCCCCAATTAATGTTTTACTTTGAAAGTTTTCAAGCCCATTGTATTTTAAAAGAATAAGAAAGAAATGTTGGGCAAATACTTGTATATCCTTTACTTATGTTCTCTAGTTAATATTTTGCCATATATAGTCTCTCATTGTCTTTTTTTTTTTTTTACTAAGCCATTTGAAAATAAATAGCAGACTTAATAGTCTTGCCGTAAGTATTTGGGCACAAATCTAGGAGTAGGAGCATTTCCCTGTATAAATATAATGTCATTATCATGTCCCCCAAATTTATCATATAAATAT